TGACATTCCTTGCAAGTAGACTGCATCTACTGGGAGATGCAGCGGCTTTGTACGCCCAGATAACTCGTCGCTGCTTTTAAATTTTAAACATGATGCCACATGTGATGTGACGTGTATTTTTTCCACGTCGGAACCAGTGCAAGAAAGTATCAGCTTCTTCGCCAAGCAAGACTTGTATCTCCCCTACGAACACCGAATATAGCTTTGTGTTCCTACCCTACTCCGCTGCTATTCGATTGAATCTTTCGTATATGTTGTGCACTCGTTGCACCCTCGTTGCCAAGGATCAATAATCTGGTTCGAAGTGGCTGTCTCTTTTACAGCAGTTCAAGAACAGCGTGCATGTGTGCGCGCGAACATGGGTCGCTCTCTCAACCCCAGCAAAGGAAACAACTAACTCCAGCACAGGAAATCGCACCAGTACGGAGACAGCAAGTACGTATACCACTGCTGTGGCCGGCTGCTCCTGCAGTGCTGTGTCGCGTTCGGAGCGTATGGGGATGGGGTTTGGGGAGGGAACACATCCAAGCCAACAAACGCCTCTCCAGAAAATCAGAGCATACCCTTGCGCGGGGAAAGACTCACCCGCCCTTGCCAGCGCCAAGTCGTAAGTAGGAGGCCACTTCGTGCTCTTCCTAACCCTAGCCTGCTTTGCTGCTGGTGCTGCCACGACTTGGACATCGTCGCCGCCTCCCCCGGCCGCTTGCTCCTCTCCTCCCCCTGCCTCGACGTCTCGGGCGTGCTGCTGGCCTAGAGCCGCAAAGCCCACCCGACCGGCTGCCCGTGCTCTAAAATCTAAATATTTTGTCCCCATTTCGGGTTCTGGCGAGACTGTCAGGGAACGATCCTGGGAACGATGGCTTATCTCAAAATACGTTTCCTTATTTCAGCTTTTTTTGGGTACGAAACTGTCAGCTGTTGAAAAAAAGAAGAGTAGTACTGTTTGCGCGGGGATCTGTTGATCACTACAACAATACCGCGTGAGGTAATCTCCTTTATCTCTCTTTTTAGGAATCTTTCGTTCTTACGGACGCACATGCTTAACCTCTGTTCTGTGAGGGCACACAAAAGAAGCAAGAGTGGCTATCGTCCTCCGAGTGGTTTGTCTCCCTCTGACTGCCTTGTCGCAGAACATGGTGGCACTCACCAACTCCAACCGAAACAACTTACATTGAGCACGAACGAGAGCCACCAAAGACTCCAAAATCCCTCCATTGACAACATATCGGTCGCCGTTACAAGCAGCAACAGTTCACCCCGTTGTAACATCATCCCGCTATCGCGTCACTTCGGCAAGGCGCGCCGATGATAAACATTTTTGCCGCCGGCCCTACGGTGTTACGTCGCGCGGTATCGCACAAGCCTCACACGCTTTACCATAAGCTCTCTCCCTCGCTCGCTCTGGTGCGTTCGCTGTTCTCCTGCTTTTTGCCGCACACCGCGGATAACACCACACGCCCGGGGTCGATGTTCACTCGATGGGCTCAACAACGGAGGGAGGGGTGGCAACCAATACTTTCGGCAAGAATTACAGGTAGTGCTCCCACAAATGCCACAAAGAAAGGTAAAGGTGCCCGATGCTTCTTCCGTTTCGCCGCTCGTCCTCTCCTGCTGTCGACACCGAGGTAACTCGGTCAAGAGCATCTCGACAACTTCAGGATGGAGAACGGCAGTAGTGGCCCGTCGCATCGGCATCTACCCAGACCAACACACAATTCACGGCATCTTTCCACTACACGACGGGGAACTGCTTTTCCCCCATATTTCGCTGTACCCGGGGGCAACAAACCCGAGCGGCGGACGGCCTTAAGTCTCCTTCGGATAGGGATGCTCCCAATACCCATGCCGGGAGCTCAATTTGGGTATTTCGACCCCCGCATCCGAGCAAGAGCCGGGGCGAAACAAAAAGACACCGCACCGCCAATGCATGTGCTCTTCTACCCCCCTCCCGAATCGCAGGCTGTGTGTGTTTGTGTGCTCAGCGGTAGTCGCTAGACCTCGCATCTCTACAAAAATAAGGGGGGGGGGGGGGCGNGGGGAACTGCTTGAACCGCTGCTCGGGGACCGTGAACCCGGGCAGCCGGAACTGGAAGTCCTCATTGATGTACTGCCCGAGGATGGCCTCGTCCATCACCCGTTCCTCGAGGTCGTCGAGGATCTTGTCTAGCTGCTCGTCGTCCAGGTCCAGCTTGCCGTCGGCCCTCTCGTGGTAGTGGACGACGGTGGGCCCCTCGAGCCAGACCTCGAAGGTGCCGGCATCTTCACGGTCGTCATCCGTCAGCTCCTCGTCGTCGTCCCACCATTCGTGCGTCTGTTGTCAGCCGTTACATTTATTAAAAAATTCATACAGAGTATATATTGTTTTTAAGGGTACGCAGCAGTAGAAGAAGCAGCAGCGGCCTCGTTTAGTGGAAGATCAAAGCGCAACTTTATCTGCACACGTTGGGTTGTCTTCCTCTTACAAACGTTCCGATCTCTCTACCCAGCACAAATATCTGCCCGTACTGGTGAAACGCTTGACGGGGTCGATTCCCGTGGTAACAGGCTAACTTACCCCGTAAGAAAGTTATACTAAAAAAAATGTGGACCCGAAGCGTCCGCAAGCCAATGTAAAACAAAGGAAGGCAGTCTAGGGCCCTCCGCTCCCCTCAACACGCTATGTGGGGCAGAAATGAGAAACCTCGCCCTTGAAAACACTCCTGTACATCCACAAAGCCAACCTCCAGCAGCAGTAGCGGTAGTAGAAAACGAACGAACTTCAACTGCACACGTTGTGTTGAGATATGTAGCACTTGAAAACTGCACATGCCTACGACAGCTCCTAGTGAGGCTACGCTACAGGGGACTCGTAAGACCGAAATGCGTGCGCTGACCGCACAACGAGGGACCAGACAGGGCGCGAAACACCCGAGTCACTGGGGTGTGGTTCGTTTGAAAACTTGGTTGTTGACGATGCCTCCAGGACCGCTGAACCTTTCTCTCGCCACCAAAAGTTGAAGGCATCAACCACTTAGGGAATCCCACCTGTGTGCTCTCAGATAGTACTCAACAGGAGAGAAGGCCAGACCACACGGTACATGATGCGAGCGACGGCACTTGGTGGGAAAAATTGTACCAAAAAAAAAAGCGCAACCAAAAGCCGGCCGTCGGTCGCCCATGGACTCGACTCACGTGAATGACGTGACCATAGCGCTCCTTGACGGCGTTCATGACCTCAGTGGCCCTTTTCTTGTCTTTTGGCAAGCCCGTGTGGCACACCACCTGGTTGGAAGCCATCGGAAAGGAGGGTGGATGTATGGGATCAAACTCTGGACCGGAAACGGATTCAGGGTTTGACTTGGGTGAGCGGGGTCAACCGTAAAAGTAGACGGCGGTATGTATCATCAATCCAACAACATACCGAACACGCAGAAAAAGCGTTTGGGAGACTAACAATCGAAGAAGCCAACGGAATCTTCATGAAAAACAAAACACACTCCTGCGGTCTTCTCTCCCCCCCCCCCCCCCCCCCCCCCCCCCCCCCCCCCCCCCCCCCCCCNTCATCTCCGCCTTCGCCTTACCAAGATCCCCCGCACCCCCTCCGCCAGGTTCGCCATATCCAGCCACTCGTTCGGCGCGACGCCCCCCCTGGGCATGAGCGGGTCGACCCGCACTTTCTCTGCTCTCTTCTTTCTCTTGGGGCCTAGCGCGGCCATGGCCACCTCGTCTGCCCCCACGCCCTCCCCCGCCGTCTTGGACGCCATCGCCGCCGCGACCGCCGCCTCCGCTAACTCCGCCTTGGTTGGCCCCTTCGTTGTCGAGAAATGAGAGGCAGCCCGAACACAACGAGGGGATGGGACACGACACTCATTACAACACACCAGCACATATTCCAGTCTGTGATGCTGCCGTTTCTTTTTTTTTTTAGCTGGCGTACTTGTTTACACCCACACGTGCTTCTGCGCAAGTCATGTTTGCTTAATCATTTTTGCTGCATAGACTACTGGACTCTACTTCTCTGGTCTCTGTACATGAAATCCCCCTGCACAAAAAGGTTTGTGTCTACGAACAAACAGTACCTTCCCCGCCGCCACCGTGGCCGCTTCCGCTGCCGCTAGCTCCGCCTCGTATTCCTCCTCCTCCTGCTGCTGCCTCAGCAGCTCCGGCTCCCCCTGGAGCAGTATCTCATCCGGGTCGGGCCCGCCCTCAAGAGGGTCTATATCATCCATCTCATCCATGCCGCCGAGGCCCAGCGGCTGCAGGGAGCGACACCGACGAGGGCGCGGCAACGAAACCTCCTCCCTGCCCCCCGATGGTGTTCTTCGCCGTTGATGGCCTGCTAGGGTAGAAGAAGCACCTGCCGGCATGAAGATCTGCCGCCGTTGTTGCCTTTGGCGGGGAGCCGGCATTGTCATCTGAAGCGGCCCGGCGAACCGTGAAGAAGATGGTGGTGGTCGTCTACTCGATTGGCGGGGAGCCTGACGGGGGGGAGACGAAAGGAAGCGGTGACTGCTGTTGGAATGAATTGGGGTGGACGAGTCTCATTGCACTGGAGCGTTTTTTGACAGAGGGCGCTGGAAATTGCTCAACACGGTTGGTTGGCCTCCCTTGACCAAGTCTGCGTCATAGCTGGTCATGTACAAGCAGCCTACGAGAGACATGTCGCGTACAGGTCGGTGATACAAAGTGACGTATCTTTCGGCCTCTCCCTCCGCCGTGTTCTCCCCGTGATGGCACTTGACGCCGCGTTGCAAGATACCAGAGGTTTCTAGACGCGTCAACTATTTACTGCCGTACGTCCAGCTGTTATGGTTGTTGTTTAACTGGGCATCTGCTCTAGGCACACTCTTGCCCCCATCTTCCCAGCCGCATGGGATACTTGTGATCCGAATGAGGAGGAAACTCGGCATGCAGCATTCTGTACCTGGTACAAGAGGGTTGACATCATGAGACATAGACTCTTGAACATATGTTGGACCATCAGCGATTGAGACAACGCTGATCAAGACGGAGGGCACTGCGGTACACGTTTCGTGTTGCCTCACCTGGCCTCTCGAAGCTAGCGGCACAAAGCTCGACGTAGGCAAGAGCGAGCCTAGCAAGGTGAAGGCCACAACCGCTATCGAAGCAGCTGATGTTGTGGCAGGTCGAGTCATCGCGTGTGCTGCGCCTAACACCGTACACGCACACGGCGAGTAGGTTTGGAGAGCCTGCCTCTCTGCACCACACAACAAGAGAAACTGGGGAGAAGATGCCACGAACAACTACCAGGCAAGGTTGAGAAGGTCACGTCGTGCGTGGTAGTGCCGAGCTTGGTGTGGTAGCCCCCTAGCGGTCCACACGGCAACTGCAACCCACCCCACTGCAGCGCAACGCAGGTGGGGGACCCCCGGGTGTACTAAAGTGGTGTATACCCAACCTTATCACAATGTTTGGGCCCCCATCCCTCGCACCACGGGGTGTCTGTTGCCATGGTCTCATGCTCTCTCATCAGTACACGACTCTCGCTCCCAACATGACCATGGGGCGAACAAGACATGCTGGTTTATGCCTTGTGCTGGCAGCACTCACCACGATGGCCGTAATACCAGGAGTCGGGGCTTTCAGCGGAGGTCTGCGGGTGGCGATCACGCAGCAGCCTCATGATTGCTCCATGGTGGCGTCGTCATCGACCGTCAGCCCTAGACCTCTCAACCCGGCAGGTGATGGTGTGTGCGCTTTGTCCATCGACTGAGGCGGCAGGCTTACCTTTACTGCCGTTTGAGCGTGCTTCCGTGTGTTTCGACCAAGGGCTGGTACAGCTTGCATAGCAATTGGCCTACGCAGAGGTTGCCTCTGGTTCCTGGTTGCACCTGCTGTGGGCGCACCTCCTCCCTCGATAGGCGCATGTTTTCGCCGATTCGAAGTTGAACGTGTACGTATGTACAGCAGTAGGACCTGCCACTACTATCAGTGGAGATGTACCTGGCCGCAAATGGGTTGAACCCGCAGCAACAGCAGGAAGAGCAGTGGTACTTGTAGCAGGGGTAGAGGCTAAGCAGCAGTTGTCGGACACCTGTATCTATGGCCCAGAGGTCAGTCGGCCTCGGCCAGGTGGCACTTACACAGACGCATCTGTGTAACGGCATCTCTGTTGCGCAACCATCCACGACGCACGACGTCCATATGTGACGTCCTGCCTAGTGCCGAGTCCCGTCTGTGCCCGTCGCCTTCTCTGCCCGTCCCCATTGCCCGGTCCAGCGCACGGAGACTTGCGGTCTACGAAGTTGCTGTTCAGATCGTCCAAGAAACCCGCTGATTTACGCTTTGCTGAAACTGCTGTCCCGGATGTACCAACAGCACCTGACAGCGGTACTCGGAAAATGTCAACATTTGACATTTCGTCCCGTGTCCCCGTATGACTTTAGCAGTATATACTTTTGCGCGCAGCCAACAGTTTTCGTGAACACATGCTCCCTGGCACTGCTGTCTGTCGGTGCTGAACGTTCACTTCCCGACTCAAGGCCATGGCAAGACGCCACTGCCGTTGGCGACGGCCACCGGGCGCCAATCCGTATCCTACTGCTGTGAATAGTTCGCAGAGCGCTAGCGCTTCTCTGGAAAGCGAGTCCACTGCTCCAACCTCATTTTGCACTTGTTGGATTGTAACAAATGACTTTCTGGAGCACCAGAGAAACCAAGGGTACCCTCGAGATGGCTCATGTCCTGAGGCTTCAGAAAATTGCCTAACATGACACCCATCTATACATCCTTGCCCCTGTTTCGCCTTTTCGATGTGGCGGTGTTACGCCGAATGGTGACACGGCAGTTTGTTTTCATCAGTCTTACGTGAAACGGCTCGATTGTCTCATTCGTGCAAAAAATTAGCTTTCACCACTGAAGGTGTCCGCGTCAATTAGACCAATACTGACATTTGGAAGGTTCTGAGCGGAGACCGGAACGGTTTTTAATGTTAAAGACAACAACAACAAGTCCCCCGGGTGCGATTGTGAGCTCCATCACAAACACTTGACAAGTTCGCTCTTGGTACCCGTATGGTCCCCATGAACAACAGCGGCGGCTGTAACACCCAGCGGGCGGAGACGGTCATCGTCGTCGTCGTCCCCAACCGCGCTATCCATGGCCCCCCCGATGGACTTTGGCGGCGCGGAGCCGGCCGAGAAGGATCCGCGAGAGATGGACCCTTCCCTCCAGGGCAGCGCCGGCGACACCTACGTCAAGTGCGGAAAGTGCCAGGCCTGCTACCCCATGGAGCTCGATGTGCGTGCTCATGCTGAACAACATCGTAGCAACGGTACCTATTGCGGCACAGAGCGATGCGTGTCTTGTTGCAGGTGTGGCTGCAAACCCTGCTCGCCGGCGTGCGACTGCTGCTTCGCCGATGGCACTGACTTGCCCCCACCGCATTTCTTTCGACGCTGTGTAGGGAAAACAGGAGGAGCAAGCGGATTGTCCATAAACAATATGTGGAACGGAGGGCGAGTTGAATAGTTTGCACGAAAATTTGCGTGATTATGGTGGTGCACGAAGTTCCGGCGCTTCTCGCTCGGCCCCAAGATGGATGCACCGCCAAAAGCGTTTGCATACCACACTCTTTGCCGTCCTGCTGTGCCGCGTTTGTGCGCCGTCGTGTTCGTTGATTTCAACCGTTCTCATCGATTTTTTGGCGTGCTCTCTCACGCTGCCTCCCTCTCGCGCTTTTGCCCCTCGACATTTCACCTTTCCCCCGTCAACCTACCCCCCCCC